CCTTCTCTTCTCCAGGCTAAACAGGCCCAGCTCAGTCTGTCCCCTTCCAGATGCACACAGCTGAGTTGTCTCTCTGCTTTCCTGATCCTCTCGCTGTTTATGTAACACAGTCACTGCTGAAGCAGAAGCGATTTCCAACCCACCATCCCGCATCCAGATGATTTTGGCTGTTTAGGCCAGGAGTAGCTCTGATTAGTTAACCCTCAAATATCTCAGATCAGTGGGAGTTACACCCACACAGCAGCCTTTGGCCACTGTAGGTCAGTTGTTTAAAGAAGTTACAGCTTTTGTCAAAATTAAATATAGATCTAAATTTATCTGGATACAAATGAATGAAAAATAGACCCTGGAATGTATTTTCTGTGAGATACAATTGAACTAATCTGATGCTGCCTGAAGTGATAAATCCTCCTCCATCTTTACAGCAGGCATTTACCTTCACTGATTACRAGGCTCCCTCATCATTTATAGCATTGATATCACTCTTGCCCTTTTATTTGCTAGTCAACAAGAGGCTACAAACCTGAAAAGAGATGGGATAGGTGGCTCTGAATGTGCTCTGCTCCTTTCTTACCCTTTTTTTGGCCTGCCCTTCCTTGGCCGAGGCAGGATCATCCTGTGGCTTGGCCAGGGAGCTGCTTCCCGCTGCCTTCTCCAGGCCTTATTCCCTGGGGATGGCTGTTCTGCYGCCGGCCGAGCAGCTCTCCCCCTCATCCTGGATGATCTCTTCTTCACAGAGTTAATATTTAAGTATTTTCTTATACAAGTTGATTCTGAAATCACTTTTAATCCTTTAATACCATTGCTGTATCACAAAAGGTTTTTTTTCCTTTTTTTTGGTATTTGTAGGTACAGAGCCTATAGCTGTGCTTATGATGTAGCTAAAGAAATACAAAATGGGGAGAGAGAAGAGTCTTTTGCAAAGTGGAAAATAACTGTATCATAAGCAGATGATAATTTAGATTGTTGTGATTCTGAGGTCAAAGGTTTGTTTAAAAATAGGCAGCTTTTCAGAGGCTGGCGAGTTCCCATGTGGATAACGCKGGAACTGGCCGCGTTCAGGCTGCTCCCAGGCTTGTCCTCGCCCCGGGGAGGGCAGCGTGAGGCAGTGCAGGTCTGCAGCCAGAGATGGGGTGGGATTTTATGATTTGGGTAAATCCCCCCACAGAGTCTGTCCTGCCTCTGTTGCAGCAGTCCAAGCAAGGGGATGGCAGAGCTGTGAGATTCCCACCTCAACACGACGGAAGGAGAAAGYCGGCGGCGGAGCTGGCAGCCACAGCGGGACTGTGCAAGGCAGCCAAGAGACAGAGCTGGATTTAGAGCAGGGAAAGGAGAACCTGCAGCAAGTGCTTCAGAGGCAGAGTGGGGAGAGTGTGAAAAAATAAAGTATTTGAAAAAATAAAGTCCCTTAGGAGAGACAGGGACTTCCCTGCCCACCTGCGAGGGCCAGGAGGGGCCGAGTGGCTGCCGGGGTTCACTGCATCTGCTCCCASTGGCATCAGGAGATATGTTGGAAGGCCTTGACATAAATGGAGTTTATAAAGGCAGCTGTTCATGCTGAGGGGGTCGTGCTCCCCATGAAAGCATTTGTCAGGCTTGAGAGTGCCCAGGAAGCCCAGGAAGTCCAGTCTAAGCGCGGGAATGAGGGACCTGCTGGTCAGAAGGCTCTGGAGCGTCACCCTGCTCCTTGCTGTGCCACCCTGTTCCTCAGTGTGCCTGGATTCCTACAGCAGCTGGTTTGAGAAGCTTGTGGAGATGAACAGCTTGCTCTGGGGCTTATCTGCCCAAGGGTAGGGTGGGAGGCAGATAYGCGTCAGCTAATAATGCAGAAGAGCTTAGCCAACTACCCAGCAAAGAGGCTGCAAGCCTGTTGAGGGGCACGATCCAAGTTTGATCCAGATTTCYGTGCTTTTTCAGGCCATTTGTCCAGTAGGTCCCTCGCTAAGTACTAAGGTACTAAGGTAGGAATAATTACCTGTACGGTCTCTACAGGGGCAATATTTYAAAAGCATCAGTTAAACAGGAAACAATCTGAAATGATGGCAAAAAAATACCCGCCCTAGTGTGTGTTAACAGCAAGAGGTGTTTGTAACCAGCTGGCCTTGCTTGGCATGGGCTTGGTTGTTGTCTCCACCTCTGCCTTCTGCGCTTCATAAAGGATGCTGACAACTGTAGAACGTGCAGTTGGTTACAGGCCCAAGTGATGTCACCTGTGAGGGAAGACACGGAGAAGGCTTTAAAGAAGACTGAGGGAGGAGACACTTTTCAAGTTGTAAGGAGTAGTGGGATAGAAATTACGTTTTGACTTAAGCTAATAAAATTTAGCTAAAGTAAACCTTCAGATAGTGCAGAAGGTAGCGAATCTGCAGGCGTGCAGATGTGAAGAACAATCTAGACAAGCACATCAAGTTGGACGTAGTGCATCCTCAGGAGATTGCTTCCAGGCCTGTCCTTCCTTGTCCTAGACTGATGTGACCATCYGCTCCCACCTGCTCCAAAGGAAGGTTTTGAAGGATGTGGGTGGATACATGCAGGGAGTAAACACATGTGGGCAGCTTCCCTCCACTTGCATTGCCAATGGATGTGTCAGCAGCTGGAAGCTCACTGGAAAAAGTCTTGCAATCATGTAGAGACTTGCTTTGGATCCTCATAGCTCCTGGTGGCAATTTCCACATCAGTCTGCCTGGAATGTAATCAGGATTTTCCACCATGTAAATCTGCTAGCTCTGAGCAGTGCCAAGGACTGATGTGGTTCCAGATCTGTTTCTAGGCTCAGTTGCAGGCCCAGGTTCACATCCAGCAGGAACCTCTGACCTGATGCCCTCGCTTTGCTCGGAGCCGAGGAGCTTCAGCCTTGGCCATTGCTTGTTGCTCCGTGTGGTTTTCAGCGCTTGGTGCCGGGGCCGTGGTGGCCCCGATGGCCCAGGTGGCCGCGATGGCCCTGGTGGCTGTGGTGGCCCTGGTGGCGGCGGGGCTTGGTGTTCACAGCCGCAGTGTCCCGGCTGCTCCGTCCTCGTGTGGACAAACCTGCCTCTTGCAGGGGCCTTGCAGTGTCCACACCTTGGGCAGCACTGGCCTCGCTCACGCCAGGGGCTGTGTGTGCTACATGTTGTATCCAGCATTACAGCATTTGCAGCACTGAAGAGGCTTTCTGACTTCTATCACTAATCCCAGCCATCTACAGCACTACAGCTTTACTAAACCATGCCTGAATAGTCCCTCYCTGAGCCCTTGGTGGCCATGCACACAGGCAGCATCTTCCTTCACACCYGGTTGTACTTTCCAGCCTGGACATGGAGAGGAATCTCTCTTTTTCTCTAACCTTTTGAAAGGTTAGAGAAAAGRTTAGGTTTCACAGAACCTCTTCTGTGAAAATTTCCAGATATTGCCCCCTGCTATGGGGATATCAGAGCTCCGTAGACCACCTTCCTCTCACATCCTTCAGGAAAGACCAAACTTGCCTAAATACTCGGTGTTCTTGAGGAGACAGGCGTTGTCCTGTCTCTGCCTCCTCAGATTTCTCCATGAATTTTGTTAGTCTTTTTGCTCTGGTTCCTGGGTAGGTTGTGGTGAGAGACACTCAAGCATGGAGAGAAATAATGGAGGTTTTGTGTGTATGGGATGTTAAGCCTGGATTCTCCCCTGAGATGGGTATGGGATGGAGACAGATTGTTTCCTACCGTCATCTCCAGCTCTGACCCATTTCTCACCAGGCAGAAGAGCTCCTCGTGCTGCAGTCCTGGYGGAGCTCCCTGTAAAATGCCCAACCTTTAGGGAGTCTCCTAAGCCCAGCCCAGCACTGTGCAAGGAGGGCTTGACTGCCCGCCCTGTGTGCCACAACGGGCTTTAGGGGGTATTTACTGCTTTTGCTGCCTGCAAGTCTCACTTCGCACGTGTCAGCGCCAGGGTCAACCCCAGGGACAGGGCAGGGGAGGACGTGAGGCCAGTGACTGYGCTGCAAAAGGGAAAGGAGCGGGAGCTCTGTGCATCACGGCAGCACCTGGAACCTTCGTTGTCCCTGGAAATGCAGCAGCTGCCCAAGTGCAGCCCTTTGCAGCTGGCTGCTCCAAAGCTGCCRCGCCTGGAATTGTGGCCCGGATCCCAGGAGCAGCCCTGGGCGCTCTTGTGACCGTGATCATTTTCTGTGTCCTCCTCAGAAACTTCCTGCTTTCCTAGAAGCAGGCGGTGCTGAAGCTGTGCCGCCAGAACTGAGTGGGAAGAACTCCATAATTCCAGAGTGTCCCTCTGAAGACCGTCCCTCTGTGAAACCTTGATCCTTGAGCAGTATCTTTAAAACCAGAAACTCCAGGTTGTATCTGGAAAAGATTACATTCCTTCGAGTCAAATAGCAAGTTCAGCCAACTTCTAAAACACATTAGCTGCGATGCTGTCCTGCGGGGCTTTACTGGTTTCAGCTTGCATTTAGCTCCGGCTGCTCCGTGTTGGACCCTGCGCCGGCTGAGCAGCACTCGTGCACAGCTGAACCTCGGAGCAGGGCAGAGTGTGAAATTACAGTTACGGTATTTCTCCATCTAGCAACTGTACAGGCTTTGAAACTGAAGAATCGAAGGTTTGAAGCTTGATTACAAGTGTTAATTCCATAATTTTGCACACGTTTTCTCCTGAAAATGCTGTTTTCTTGGGATTCAGAACTTGTCCCTCCATGCATGAAGGATTTTTTGTGGATTTTTTTTAAGTTTGGAATAATTTAGTGGACATTTTGCATTAAAAATAACGCACACTTTAATATGCTCTGTTATTTGAAAGCAGAATTCTTTTAAACTTCTCCAGTCTCCAGGAAGGCAAACAAGTAAATGATCAGTGCTTAACCATGCAAAGTTTTCCGAAGGTATTTTCTGCCTCTTAGGCATTCACAGAAAATTGTTTTTTCTTAGCTGTTAAATTGAAAACGTGGCCATGCTGTGGCTGTACCGAGCTCACACTGTTGTCTTGACTGCTGGGTTTTGCAATGAAATCCTTTCTTTCCCTGCCAGCAATCCAGAAGTCTGCGACCTTTGAGATGTGATCACGCTGGCAAACTTGGAGTCCCCAAAATCCACGTGGTGTTCCCCGTGCAGGGAGTAATTATAGTTAAAACCAAACTCTGATCAACAGCTTCCCAGCTAACTCTTGTTGCTTGATTGCAGCCTAACGCACAAAACTGTTTAATTATATTTGATTGGGACCTGCTACTGGTCCAGTTAGGTTTGAGCATCTTAGATGAGTGCCCAGATCTGCAACCCTGGGGTGGGGAACTCGATGCTGCCTCCACCGTGGGGATCTTTGCATTCCCTTCACACGCGGAGCTCCGAAAGCAGCGCACGGAGCAAAACTCCTTCCCAGGTGCACGTAGGAAAGGCCGGATGGGAAGCAGAGCCGAGGCTGCAACTCAGCTTTGAAACAACCGCTCGGTCAGTTGTGGTGTTTCCCTGACCTGCAGCTTGTGGCTGCAGTTGGTTAGTTGTGGTGTTAGTTAGTTGTGGTGTTAGTTGTGTGTGTTAGTTGTGGTGTTAGTTAGTTGTGGTGTTAGTTGTGGTGTGTGTTAGTTGTGGTGTTAGTTG